TACGGTTCGAACACTCGAACACCTATACGGATTCTCCTGCACAGTGGCAGATATGTAAAATATTGATCAATTTTTGTAATTTTTTAAGTATGATCCAATATATTTTATATTTTTAAATCACTATAAACTGAGTTTTTTACATTTTATTTTAATAATTAATGACTTTATATTATACAAAAAATCAATCACTAACTATTATATATAAGATAAATAATGACAAAAATAAGAGAATAAATAAGGGCCTAAATATATACATATATATACATATTTTAACCAAGTCAAATAGATAATGACTACACTTATTATTATTATTATTAGTTTCAAACAATATATAGATAGAGACACAAACAAAATGGTTGAGTGATAGCAGTTGAATAGAATAGCATAGGTTTTACAGCTTCAACAAATCAATAACATGTTCTTCATCTTCCCTCTTCTCTCTCTCTATTTCTTGCTCCTCCATTTTCTCTCTTTATCTTTCCTCTTCTCTCTATCCCTCTTCCTCCATTTTCAGTTTTTTTTTTTTGTGTTTTTTCAAAAGAAACTGCTTGGAACCGTTACGTAATGGTGTGTATCAGGCCGTTACGGCACCATTACGACCGCTATGGCAGCCGCTACGGCAGACATACCTATGAATCTCAATCACACTGCAAAAGCGGCCGTAACGGGTGGCGGTAACCGCCAAAACCGTTACGTAACGGCGTTACGTAACGGTTGCAGCCGCTTTTTAAAACCTTGGACAAGACTCTGTAAACTGTCCCGACATTTGATTCCGGTTAGCTTTTCCAAGGGTCCGACAAGACTCTGTAAACTGTCCCGACATTTGATCCGGTTAGTTTCTACATGGGTCCGACAAGACTCTGTAAACTGTCCCGACATTGATTCCGGTTAGTTTCTACAAGGGTCCAGCAAGACTCCGTAAACTGTCACTGTCACAACATTGTCTGCTACAACGGTCTGACATGACCCCATAAACTGTCTTCTACATCGGTCTGCCATACCCATATAGTCTTCTACAACGGTCTGACACGACCATACAGTGTCTCCTATCCATTTTTATTTTATTTTATTTTTTCTGTTTTGTTACTTTCTCCAAACTCAAGTTGGTTGGTTCCTATCCTCCTTGAGTTTGAGGGGGGCTGTTAGAATATAATATGTAAAATGTTGCTTTAATAATTAGGTTAGTATAATAATTAGTATGCTTTAATAATGTACCTTTAATAATGTTGTTTGGTTTGTGCTTCTACTTTCGGTTTGTAATTGTTCTCCCTCTCCTCTATAAAGGAGAGAGCTCAACACACCATAAGATACATCAATCAATAATATCAATCATCAATACATATTTCATTCTCTCTATTTTTCCATACATCAAATTTAACAAAGGGCACTTGCAGCCATTTTACAACACCTTTAAAACAAGAAAGCACAATGGAATTATATTGTAGGGTATTTAAAGTGAACTAGGAATCTATTGCTCCTTCCATTCTAACAATTGCCCATTTAGTGAGCATCCAATAGAAAGTGAGCCGAAACCATACCCCGACATTTCCACACCCAACTTTGACTCCTATAGCCCAACATCTCTGGCATAGGTACTTAATGTGTTTTCTTTGTGCATTCATTTAACACAGCTATGAGAAAATGCACACATATCATAATAAAATAAAACTTCTACAAACAGAAGTATGTAAGACCAAGAAAGTCATGAACACTAAGCATCAAATTCCAACTAACCTGTTGATACGAAAGAGGGTGTATCACAGCACCACTTACTTCCAAGAAGTAGTCAGGAGTTATTAAGTGCAGATCTTGAACCTGAAAAGCATCAGCAGAACAGGTTAAACTTACACCACTACTGTATGAAAAGCAAAAAGGCACAAGATAGACAATACTCCTCAAAAGGACCTTGACTAAGAAGATTGATATCCACATCAAGAATGGAGTCAAGATTAGTGACACTGACACATAATACTGTAAATATTTTATTATGTCAGTCACTCATAAATGTTTTCTAGCACAAAATTATTTGTACTTCCAGCAACAAAAATTATATCTGTTATATGAGAGATTGATCACAAAGAATGTTGTTACAACAAAAAATAATAGAACAATATATCAGTCATGACACTACCTGAGATCCCTAAAAAATTAAAGGGAGAAAAAAACACAGATATTGAAGGGTGGAAACTCATGTCAAAATGAATAATATATACACAATATCAAAGCATCCCAATATTTTAATTGCCAATTCCTATCTTATGGAGAAACAAAAGTAACAAACAAACTGTGCACAAGGGTTAAGAAAAAATTCAGCATACCACTAAATTGCTCCAGTCAAAATTCATAAGATCTTACTTGATCCTTTCTTGTAAGTCAAATATTCCACTCAAGAGTCCAAGAGGGAGTGCATTCAAAGTCCTCAAATGAACCCAACTCAAAACCAAGAACTCTTCATAGAACACATGTGCCCAAAACAGTTCAATAAAGAAATCAGAAGAGAAACAATCACACAAGATCTAAATTAATCAGAAGAATGTAATATAGATAACAGAAATCTGTTACAATTATACCAACAAGTACAGCATTCTGTGACAAAGAAATTAATCAACAGGCTAATATGGTAGCTCCACAATGCAAAATCAAACAGAAGATTGAGATTCCATGAAAAGTTCCTTCAGATAGGTAAGACTTTAAAGCATCCTTCACTCCTCAGGAACCAGTAAACACCCATCACAACTGCATTTGAAGTTTTCCGATCCAAAGGAATGCCTGTTACGATCTCTCTGGCCTTGTTACACTACTCAGAAAACCATTCAGTTTTCCACAGGCCAAATAAGTTTATCTGAAAATTAGTTAACTGATGAACAATGACAGTCCATTCAGTTAACAGATTCAAGACACAGACACAACTTGAGATATAAGTTGGATACAGCTCAACCTTAACTGTAAATTTCTACGAGATTTAAAAATAAAAATAATAACAAGCAGTGTCAAACTGAGATACGAACTGTAAATAGAGATTATTTTTTCCCAAATCATGAATCGTAAAGGTTCAATCATAATTTCTAAACTACAAAGGAATATATATATATATATATATACATAGAAAAATACATTTGATCTGAAGATTGTTATGTTCTCTTCCCTTTTGTGACTTATGCATCCATGGCCTCCTTCGTTTTAGGACACACATTTTGTTCTTCAAAAAGCATTCAGCATCAACACCATTGCTTTGTTTTTCTCCAAACATTTGTTTAAAAAATGATTTCAAATATCTTCAGAAACTCGATTACATGGGGCAACATCATCATGGGTTCCCACCAAGTGATTCTTCATACAAAGTACTCCACCACAATAGTCCTCCTCAAAATAGTTGCAATTGAAGTGCATTTTATTATTCTGAGCCACTAACACAGGTAATTCAAGTACCCAAATCACTATCACTTATTCAAACCTTTCACTTGATGCCTCCAGAAAATTCATTTTTTTAAAGTAGAAACACATGGATAAATTCGGCTAAGTAAGCTAGATATTGGCCCCGTTTGGTGTAACTGTTAAAACAACTTATAGATTATAGCTTAACAGATTATAGATTATGACTTTAATCAGAAGTTGTTAATCTGTTTGGTGTAGCTGTTGGATTATAGATTTGAGTTGCTGAGTAGTGTTTGTTAAATAAGTTGTAAAATAGGCTTTTCAATTAATTTTTATTTTTTGTTTATCTACATTTCTCATAAATAATAATAATAATAATCTATAGTCCATTTGGGTCTTTTTTTATTTTTAAAAAAATAAAAAATAAAAAATAAAAAAAATTAAGAGTATAACCATAAATTAACATGTCCACAGCAGAAGCTGATAATCAGAAGTAAGGGGTGAGTAGCTTCTCAGAATCAGCTTTTTTGAATTAAAATAAGCTGCTAGAATCAGAAGCTGTTTGAAATAAGTTTAACCAAACAGTCCAAAATAACTTTTTCAAAGCTAAAAGCCATAAGTTAGCTCTGAAAAGCTGAAACAAACACCCCCATTGTAGAGAGAGAAGAATATTTTCTGGAGAAAGTTTAGGGTTTGAGAGTGCTGAGAAATAAAATACGAAAGGAAGGAAAAGGATGCAGTAGAAGTAACCCTCAACACTCTTAAATGTCTGTACAAAACTTTTTCATCCACCCCCAAAAAAAAAAAAAAAAAAGACAATATGGCTCCACACCCGTTTTCAGGTTGGGTCGACTGCATGTGTATCACGCGATATGCTTGATTCAACAATTTCCCTTGTGATTCTTCGATCCCATTGCAATTTCGGCTTCCAGTTGACTCACCCCAAATATGGATCAATTGCTTGGTGTATCAAATTGGACAGTGTGATACATGTCATGTATTGTACAGTTTTGATAACAGATGTCAAATAATACAAGAGCAGGAGCTTTACAGAATAACTGAAGAACATACTGGCATCCAAATTTTTCCATGATGCTCATTACCAACTATGTGGAGCACACTAAAGGATGGAATAATGTACATATAAGTCGATCAACATCTCTTAACTTTGGAACAACAGGCAGTTTCATTATCTACCACAACAACTTATGACATCCATAGAAACAATTATAGCACTCTGCCATAACGAAGTCAAACCATTAACAAATACTTTACATAACAAAAGGAAGACACAACATGTGCAATAGTAAATCTCACCACCAAGTCTACAGTCAATGGTGTGCCACCCCTTTCAATCAGTAATTTAATCTTCTGGTCCAAACTGTCATCAAGTAATGTTTCCATTTTCAGGAACTGAGTAATTACCTGCAATAAGAACTTCGATATATCAAAGACAAAACATTTGGGTCATACTTCAGCACTTCAACATGAAAATTATGAATTAAATTCCACAACCAGAAATCAGCATGAATTGGTTACTGGAAAGTTAAACCTGGCTACTTAAAACAACGGCTCTTTAATGAAATAAATGCAGAATAAAATAAGCTACAAAACCAAAAATTCACTTATTGGTAGGCCAAAAGTGAATATTTGCTAACAATTTTCATCGAAAAATAGCAACTACAGCTCCAAAAAAAGTTTCAAAACTGCACACCCCTAACCTACAAGCATTGTTTGAAGCTCCTACTTTCGAAGAGCTTTCATATAAAATACATAATAAGAAGTAAGCATTACACACAAATGGACAATATATATGGTACACAGTTGAAGAAATACTTACGTCCCCATTTATGCGAACAAGCACGTCACCAGGCTCCAAAAGATTGTGAGCTGGGCCACCTGGCACCTGAACAAGTCCAGAATGATAGCAGACATTGGGGCTGTTTGTTGCAGCTTCTATAAGCTGATTATAACTTATTTTAATTTGGGAAACCGTGCCAAATTGTTTGGTGCAACTTCTGCTTATAGCTTATTATCCAAAAACAACTTAAATAAGCTGAAAAAAACTGATTATTTAGAAGCTAGGGAAGGGGAGCTTTTAGCTTCTGATTTCTGATTATCAACTTTTAGCTTAAATAAAGCTATACCAAACAGGGCCAATGAAGATGGGAAAATTTCTACTCAATCAATTATAACACAGTGAAGAAAGTATACTCACGACAGAATCAACAACAAGCATTCCAGTTTCTCCACTCAGAGAGGCATGGCGCACAATCTAATCCAGTTAACTCATTAAGGCATCAGCATCTCAAATTATTATTTTGAGAAACCATTGAAAGAAATAATGCAATTTTCACAAGAACCTAACTACCTGCTCTGTTTCACTTCGGAGACCAAGGCGACGTGTCTCATCAAATCCTCTGTGGACAAATGTCACCTATATAATGAGTTAATAATGCCAAATCATACAAAAGTAAATCTTGAAGTGTACATATAAGCCAAACATAAAGAAACAAGCACAAGTGTGATCTTATTTGCAAGTGTTTTTTCGCTTTATGCAGATCTTGATCTTATTGTCACCAGCATGGTATCATTACTTTGTCACTCATGCATAAACAAGAGGCCACAGAAATGAATCTATCTCTAAATAATGAGATCCCTTTATTGATATTATTACCAAATCAAGCAAAAAGCCACCACTTCGTAATTTTCATAAATCTTGGAGGACACATAAGTGTTTTCAAAAAAGTTTTGTTTTGTACTTTTCTTTGTCAAATGGAAACAAGATGCTGTCTGAGATAAGTTGAATAAATTATAATAAGAAATAATGAGCTTATCCTACTTTTCCAAATGAGCCCATTGAGACAATCCAGTTACAAATGAAAGCAAAATAATACACCTATTGAGGATGGAATTCGAAGGGAGGGAAAGCATAAAGGCAAAATAAAATAAAATAAAATAAAAACAAATACACACAGGCAATGAAGCCTTCATTTGTAACATCGAACTACATCCTTGATTAATGCAAAGGAAGATGATACATACAAATAACTGATGCTACATTTGGAGACAAAAGTGAATATTTGAATTGGAACCGTTATGTGGGATCTGCCCAGAATGCCCATACATACCAAGACTTTGTTCACACAGAAAAGGCCAGTAGGAAAAGAAAAATGGAAATTTCTATTTTGATAATGTCTTTTCTTTTTTAATAGTATCGAATCCATTTTCTATTTCGGAATGAACACTGACCAACTATAAATGAAGCAAAATCTACGGAAGTATTGTATTTGAAAGAATAATGAGATGAATTATATAAATATCCAAACCGCTCTCAGTACCACATTTTTATAGACCAGACTCAGATACCATTATGAATAAAGCTACATAATGTATTGTCCGGCAGGAGTAAAAAACACAATTATGTTAAAAGGCAAAAGAAAGCAAAGTAGGAGAAACTTCTTAGATATTTACTTTTTTGGTACCATTAAGAACTTAATATTATTACAAGTGTTACTAACGTTAATAGTTAGTGAAGACGGGTGGCCCCTTGTGGGACTTGAACTCAAGCATGAGCACAGTCAACTGGTGGTGCCTTGCTACCTGGGCAGATGGCATCCTCTCTAATATATTTACTTTAACAAAAAAGAACTTAGGAATTATTTTATACAGATGTGGAAATTAAAGCAGCACTCAAAAAGTACAAAAGTTTAAAGTGCAAGATTGAAGATTCTCAAAATTGAAAATCATTGAATTTATAGTTCCAGACAGAATCATAGGGAACAAACCATAATAAGTAAAAAATAAATAAGGAAAAAGAGTTAGCAAACTAAATGAGAGATTGGAAGCTTATAAGAATTAGACATTTTAGGCTGAAAACAACAGAAGAAAAATAAATGTTTTGCAAGCAAAAAAACGATTTATTAAATCATAAACTCAAGCCAAAAAAAACAAGACAATTTCAGAAATCTGGCTATTGAACCACCAAAATATGTTATCCTGTTGAATGCAGTATAGACAAAAACAAAACAAATGGGAGCATTGAATCAAATTAAAACCTAGAAGGATAAGAATTAACAAACCTGAAGCGTACCACGAGGAATAGAAACCACCCTCCATTTATCTCTAAAAGAATCTCTAGCCTTCTGCAAGAATTTTAATGCCCTTACAACCTGCAAATAGTATAATGACAAGATTAACTTAGAAACTACAACATTTAATTGTGATGGCATCAATCAATCAATTGGAAATTGAAGGCTTCAAATCTATAGAATATCAGTATAGGGAGTTTCTAAATACACCCGCTTAATTTCTCTTAACACCCGCTACATACATTGTTAACCTTGTACCTTAAGGATAAACAATTGTACAGGTGCCTGTAGAACAAAAAATTGATGGGTGCATTTAGAAGCTCCCTTGTAGTTAATTCATCACATATTTAGACCGGCATCCCACAATGCCAACCCTCACATAGAAACTTAAAAAATACTGTACAACATCCACGTCCACGTCACAAAATAAATAAATAAATAAAGGCTAACGAATGGGCTAATCCAACACATGGAAGTATAAAGGCTACTTTTTTCAGTTCAGATGGTTTGGTTAGGTAGACAGTGGTAGGTTTTGGCTTTCTGGAAGCTTAAACTTATAAGATTGAGCCTTCAAAGACTTCTTATTGAAGGATACTACTCTACCAAAATCGATCTCAAAAGACAAGTGAAAACTGACAAATCTAGTATAAAAACATCAGTAGATGTAATAGGAAGACCAAACAAGAAGGCAAGGTCATTGAGTGTGCAGAGAAAATAAAGCAATAAAAAGAACGATAAAGGTAAACAAACTTCAAAACAGTATGAATGGAAAATGACCCAACAAAGGTAACATGCAGGACTAGAAACAGAAACAAACTATAAAGAAGAAATGAACAAAAATTGTAAAATGTTAATAAAAAAAAACAGCATTTGATTTAGATATTCAAAAGATAGTAGATTAAACTTTACTGTAAGAGTTGATATTACAAGAAAAATAAAAAATAAAAAATAAAAACAGCGAGAATAATGGTAAAGTTATCTCACTTCATTCTCCATGGTTTGAGCAGGCAACGACAGATGGCTGTTCTTCATTTTCGAATAAATAATGTGCACTACATTAAGTTCTAAGGTTGAAAAGCATATTATCAAATTGGTTATTTGCATCAAGGTGAGTTCCGGTTATGATCATTCGACAGCTGTCAACTCCCTGTTTGAATCAGGTCAGGTGTTGGAAACAAGGTAACTGAATTCAGTTACATCTCCAATAGACCACAAGCAGTTAACCTCCGTCCTTGACAACAATGAAAGCATGACATAGAAGTCACAGAAAATAATTGCAAAGATACTCACTCTTTCTAAAGGTAAGAAAAATGCCGAAGCACTTGATGACTTGCCCCCAGCATTCAACGCCACTGCCCTGCCTTGCCAATCAATTACTGGGGAACCACTTGAACCCCCTTTAGTCCCAGATGCTGCCTGTAAGTAGAAGGGGGAGGGGGGGCCGAGAGGAAGGGTAATTACAATTAAAACTTTTGGCTTGAGACAGAACCAACAAGGTTTTCATAAATTGCAAAGAAACAAACAACGGATGATCAAAAATTGAGTTAGCAGCAAAATGAGGGTTGACAAGAATGTCCCAACACTTAATGGGGCTCTTTCTTTTTCTTTTTCTGACACTTCATTAAGCGTACAGATTTTCCATAAACTTCTATAGCCCTAGCTACAAAAGAAGGAATGTTTGACACTCCTTAAATCCATAATGGTGTGAATCTTTCGAAAGACAATGTTCACAAAACAAATGTCCAAGTAAACAGGATTTGCTTTTTTTTCTTCTTTTTCTCCCTTCACCAACTAATCATCATATACAATCAAGAAGGCATTGCCCAAACACATGTCCAAGTAAAAATTATGCAACATCAAGCTAGTCAAACCAAACCTACAAACTTACCGACCAACACAAACATTCAGCAGCAAAGGTGCTCAAACTAATTAGACCAACACGAATTATGATCAGCAAGTTGAATGGTAATTAACACCAATCGCCAATCATAGCTATGCTAACTGACAAGGCCAACACAAATTTTGTAACTTGAATGATTAAAATAACTCCAACTTAGGAGTCCATTAAAAGCATCTAATGTCACAATGCTTACTTGCAGGTAGAATGTATTGAAGTCATTGTAGCCATCCCTGCAACATAAAAGGCCATTGTAAAAATGTAAGTAAATGGTGGCAAAGAGGTACCACTTTGGCTTGTGCATATTAACAGAAGTCAGCGGCAGAAAAGCTTTTCTTCTTTCACTTTTTAAAAGAATTGGTATTAGTAGGAAAAACAAAACTCAACTCTAAATCTACTACCACATATTATGGAGGGAAAAGAAAAGAAAATATTAGCAATCAACTGTAGAAAAGTCATTCCCCTTGTGACAATTGTTGTCTGTGGTATTTGTCTCAGTAATATAAAAGGCAAATTGAAAATGTCTAAGGAGACACTAAAGAGTTTCTAAGTTGAAAGGGTACATGTGAAAGACAATTGTCAGGATGCCCCACACACAGGCTTCACACTTGCATGTCATTCACATCTTAAATGCCATTAGATAATGATAGTCCATATAGGAACCACGCTGGCATACAACAAAATCAAGGACTGCATAATGAGTTGGAGCTCAGTCAAGAATGACTGCAGCCAAAACATGTGGAAGCACTACACGATAATTATAACAGGAGTTCCACTTTCAAGATTACTCCACAAGAGAGTGGAAATCGACGTACAGTGGTTTCCTCTTTCCTTCTCTCTCTCTCGGCTCCTTCACGGCTTCTTTTTCTTCTCCATCTTCTCCTCTTCCCAACTCTCAGGTGTTTCATTCTTCTTCACCAATACCTTGTTCTTGCATGATTGTTGGCTCGAAGGATCCTCAAAAGGGTTTATTGTGCATTCATAGGCCTTTTAACTGTATTGACTGGTGCAATCTAAATTCTAACTTCTAACCCTATTTTAGTTGGCTGCCCTTTACTCACCACTTACTTGATCCTTTCCTTTCTTCTAGATGAGACCAAATTTAGGAATAGATAGAGAGAGAAAATCAGATTACTTCACTTCTTTCAATATCATTGATTTTAAAGTTCAAAAGCATCAAACTCTGCTCATTCAAAAACTGTCCAGATCATCTCTTTTATAATTAAAGTTTCAGTTAGTGAAGTCCTAACCTTCAAAGTGCAAACTTTATTTCCCCTTTGTTCACAGCCATTAGCTATGTTTCCTTTTCATGCTTTATTGCATTTGGCGGATGTTTGAAACTATCTTAAGCTAGTGGTAGAGTTCAGGTTGCTAGTGGAATAATCTCTGTTTATTGCCTCAGCTAAATAGCACTTTTGCTTGGTTTTTGTTTGTATACTTATGATTCTTAATGATTGTTAGTGCTAAGCATCTCACATAAGGTTCTCCAAGGTTTGCACAACCCTAAGGCACTAAACACTTCTAGGGAGAAGACCTGCATCTCACATAAGGTTCTCCAAGGTTTGCACAACCCTAAGGCCTAGGTAGCACCAAACACTTCTAGGGAGAAGACGTGACCTATATACGGTGGACTCTCAATATAGTAACAATGTTCAGCATTCTAAGGTACACAAATTAGGTACTGCAATTGTGCCTTGAAATATTTCTAAAACGAGTACATCATGTGAACAGCCAACATAAAGTAAAGTATGCAACAGACAGCTACGAACATATGAAAAATATAGAAATAAAGATTAAATGGGAGAACATAAAGAAATGTAGTAAGAAAGCAAACAAGAGTATGCTTTACATACATGATATTTGCGCAGCTCTATCTTCCACAAGTTGCAATGTTAAGTAGAATTATATAAATAATAAACTAGATTCAAGGTTTCGAAAAGCAATTGCGGGGTATAAAGGCCGTAGCGTAATGGTTGCAGTAACCGGAACCGTGATTTTTTTTTTATTTTTCGCACAATTTGAAGAAAACTTACCGATACGCATTTTTTCTCCCTAGAATCACATTTATTAGGGTTTAAAATAAATTTTGATCAATTTTTGTTAATTTTTAAGTATGATCCAATATATTTCATATTTTCAAATCACTATAAAAGGAGTTTTTTACATTTTATTTTAATAGTTAATGACTTTAAGAATAATTGATTTTAAATTTCTACAAATTATTTTGGGTAAATTACAAATACACCCCCCGAGATTTGATTAAAATATGAATAGCCCCCTGTGATTTTGGAAATTGCATTCCACCCCTGAGGTTTTCTAATTTCATAACAAATTGCCTATTTTATTAATAAATCATCAAATTTTTAATGATGTTAGAAATATGTTTAATTAATAATTTGGGTAATTTCATTATTGTATAGGAGACCAATTATGAATTTTATTTTTTCAATTAATTTTGTTAAATAAAAAATACTAATAGGTATTTGTAATTTTCCAAACCACAAGGGGCAATCTTGTACTTTAAGCAAACCTTAGTGGATGTATTTGTAATTTATCCAATTATTTTTTACCAATACCTGAACTAATTGAATAAAAAATATTCACAATTATTAAATGAAATAATTATAAAATAAAAATTGTGCCATAAACAAAAATTATTTTTGCAGGCATTTTTTTAGACAACACTTTATAGGTAACTAAATAAAATTATTTACAATTAAGTATTAAATGAAGTGATTATAAAAATAAAAATTATGCCATAAACAAAAAATATTTTTGAGTTTTTTAAAAACATTTTTTAGACAACACATTACAGTAACAAAATAAAAAAAATTATAATTAAATATTAAATAAAATGATTATAAAAATAAATACAACTACTATTTATAAATTTTTTATTTTACATGCTTATGTAATGAAATAAAAATTATAAAGAAAATAAATTCATATAAGATTTTTTCATTGGACTTGGATCACTTGAGTATTTGTTCTTTTTCTTGTAAGTTTTTAATTATTATTATTATATTTTTTGGAAAGGAAGTTATTCAAAATAATATAAAAGTATGTAACGGACCGTTACAGCCAAGGTTTCGAAAAGCGGTTGCGGTGGCGTGGTTGCGGGGTATAAAGGCCGTAGCGTAATGGTTGCGATAACCGGAACTATGATTTTTTTTATTTTTCGCACAATTTGAAGAAAACTTACCGATACACATTTCCCCCCCCCCCCTTTCTAGAGTCACATTTATTAGGGTTTAAAATAAAAGGATATTTACCAATAAATTCCATCTTACAAACAAGTACTCCAATAAGTCCCAAGTTTTTTCTATTAATCTGTTAAGTCCTATTAGTGGAAAATTTCTTTTCGTGTGATCCTATTTTTTATTTTGGTAGTGTTTTAGTAGACAACTATACCCTTTTATTAATGTGACAGGTATGATATAATACTCTAATATGACAGGTATTAATGTGACACTCCAACGATGTGACACTCCAAAAAAATTTAAAACTCCTTATTATACTTTTCCTAAATGTGACAACGAGACGGGTATGATGTGACACTCCAAAATTTTTACTCAAAAAAATAAACAAAAATTCTTTAGTATACTTTTCCCTAATGTGAAAACAAGGCGGGTATGATGTGACACTTCAAAAAAAATAAAAATTATTTAGTGTACTTTTCCCTAATATGACGTGGCGGGTATGATGTGACACTTCAAAAAAATAAAAACTCCTTAGTGTACTTTTCTCAAACGTGACAACATGGCGAGTATGATGTGATACTTCAAAAAAAATAAAAACTCCTTAGCGTACTTTTTCAACCATGACAACGTGACGGATATGATGTGACACTTCAAAAAAAATTAAGTAGTGTTTGGTAGAGTTTTAGAATTATGATTTGAAAATAGAGTTGTATTTTGAGTTTGTGAGTTTTGAAATTATGATTTGAAAAGAGAATTTGTTTGGTTATGCTTTTTGAATTTTTGATATGACATATGAAATGAAAAAAGTTGTTTGATTATGAGTTTTGAAAAGAGTTTTTAAAACTTAATTAAAAACTTATAACTCATAACCAAATATACAACTCAAAATTCTATTCAAAATTCATAGCCAAACTCTTTTTAAAATTCAATTCAAAAAAATAATTTGTCATTTTGGTCTAAAAAAAATAATTTCTATATTTAAAAAATATCAAAAACAAATATATATATATATATATATATATTCAAATAATAGGTAGCGACTGGCAATTGCTAAATAAAAAAAAAATTAAAAAAAAAAAAAAAGTACTGTTCCAGTCAACCGCCCTGGCATCCGGGAGATGTCCGGGGGGACGACCCAAAGCGCAAATTCAAAAATCAAAAACTCACTGCCAAACATGCATTAGAATGTGTTTTCAAATGTGGCGTTACAATTAATTTTTAAAAACTTCAACTAAATATAACATTGAAATGTAGGGGTGAAATTATACTTTGAAAGCTATACCAAACATAGCCTAAATCTCTTTATTATACTTTTCCCTAATGTGACAACGTGGCGGGCATAATCTGACACTTCAAAAAAAATACGAACTCCTTAGTATATTTTTTTCAAATGTGACAATATGGCGGGTATGATGTGATAGTCTAAAAAAAAATTAAAAACTCTTTAATGTACTTTTCCCAAACGTGACATGTGTGACACTCCAACGTGACGGGTATGATGTGATACTCTGAAAAAAATAAAAACTCTTTATTGTACTTTTTTCAAATGTGATACGCTAACGTGACGGATATAATGTGACACTAAAAAGCTATTTAGTGTACTTTTTCCAAATGTGACACTCCAATATGGCGAGCAAATGAGTCATTACATCTAAAAAGACTAAATGAATCACAAGAAAAAATATGGGACTATATGAATTACAAGTCCAAAATACGGAACTTATTTTTGTTAATTTTTAAGTATGATCAATATATTTCATACTTTCAAATCATTATAAAAAGAGTTTTTTACATTTTATTTTAATAATTGACTTTAAAAATAATTGATTTTAAATGTTTACAAATTATTTTTGACCAATACCTAAACTAATTGAATAAAAAATATTCACAATTATTAAATGAAATAATAATAAAAATAAAAATTGTGCCATAAACAAAATTATTTTTCAGGCATTGTTTTAGACAACACTTTACAGGTAACTATATAAAATTATTTAAAATTAAGTATTAAATGAAATTAATATAAAAATAAAAATTGTGTCATAAACAAAAAATATTTTTGAGTTTTTTAAAGACATGTTTTAGACAACACATTACAGTAACAAAATAAAAAACATTTATAATTAAATAGTAAATAAAATGATTATAAAAATACATACAACTACTATTTATATATTTTTTTATTTTACATGCTAATGTAATGACAAAAAAATTTTAAAAAAAAATTATAAAGAGAATAACTTCATAAAAGATTTTTTTCTTTGGGCTTGGATCACTTGAGTACCTGGTTTTTTTTTTTGTAAGCTTTTATTTATTCATTTTTTTTGGGAAAGGAAGTTATTCAAAATATTACAAAAGTGTGTAACGGTGTTTAACGGACCGTTACAGCCAAGGTTTCGAAAAGCGGTTGCAGTCGCCATAACGGTTGCTGTGGCATGGTTGCGGTTGCGGGGTTAAAGGCCGTAGAGTAATGGTTGTGATAACCGAAACCGTGATTTTTATTATTTTTCGCACAATTTGAAGAAAATTTACCGATACAAATATTTGTTTTTTCTAGAAATATATTTATTAGGGCTTTCAAATAGATTTTAATCCATTTTTGTTAATTTTTAAGTATTATTCAATATATTTCATATTTTCAAATCACTATAAAAAGAGCATTTTACATTTTATTTTAATAGTTAATGACTTTAAAAATAATTGATTTTAAATGTCTACAATTATTTTTGACCAATACCTGAACTAATTGAATAAAAAATATTCACAATTATTAAATGAAATGATTACAAAAATATAAATTGTGCCATAAACAAAAATTATTTTTCAAGCATTTTTTTAGACAACACTTTACAAGTAACTAAATTAAATTATTTACAATTAAGTATTAAATGAAATGATTATAAAAATAAAAATTGTGCTATAAACAAAATATATTTTTGAGTTTTTTAAAGACATGTTTTACACAACACATTACAGTAACAAAATAAAAAATATTTATAATTAAATATTAAATAAAATGATTATAAAAATAAATACAACTACTGTTTACATATTTTTTATTTTACATGCTAACGTAAAGAATAAAAATTAAAAAAAAATTATAAAGAAAATAAATTCAGATAAGATTTTTTCTTTAGACTTGGATCACTTGAGTATTTGTTCTTTTTTCGTAAACTTTTATTTATTTATTTTTTTTGGGAAAGGAAGTTATTCAAAATATTATAAAAGTGTGTAACGGATCGTTACAACCAAGGTTTCGAAAAGCGGTTGCAGGCCGTAGCGTAACGGTTGTGGTGGCATGGTTGTGGTTGTGGGGTACAAAGGCCGTAGCGTAACGGTTGCGGTAACCGAAACCGTGATTTTTTTTGTTTTTCGCACAATTTGAAGAATACTTATCGATACGCATATATATATATATATATATATATTTTTCTAGAATCACATTTATTAAGGTTTAAAATAGATTTTAATAAATTTTTGTTAATTTTTAAGTATGATCCAATATATTTCATATTTTCAAATCACTATAAAAGGAGTTTTTTACATTTTATTTTAATAGTTAATGACTTTAAAAATAATTGATTTTAAATGTCTACAAATTATTTTTTACCAATACCTAAGCTAATTGAAAAAAAATATTCACAATTATTAAATGAAATGATTATAAAAATAAAAATTGTGCCATAAATAAAAATTATTTTTTGAGGGATTTTTTTAGAAAGCACTTTATAAGTAACTAAATAAAATTATTTACAATTAAGTATTAAACGAAATGATTATAAAAATAAAAATTGTGCCATAAACACAAATTATTTTTGAGTTTTTAAATACATTTTTTAAACAACACATCACAGTAACAAAATAAAAAATATTAAATAAAAATAAAAATAAATACAACTACTGTTTATATATTTTTATTTTTTACATGCTAACATAATGAAATAAAAATGAAAAAAAAAATTATAAAGAAAAAATTCACATAAGATTTTTTTCTTTGGAGTTGGATTTGTTCTTTTTTTGTTAACTTTTATTTATTTATATTTTTTGGGAAAGGAAGTTATTCAAAATATTATAAAAGTGTACAACGGACCGCTACAGCTGTTATGGTACTGCTACGACCGTTACGTAACACCGAAACGGCCGTTACACATGTAAATTTCCATCACACTGCTATAGCGGCCGTAGCGGGTGACGATAACCACCACAACCATTACGTAACGGCGTTACGTAATGGTTGCGGCTGCTTTTTAAAACCTTCGTTACAGCTGTTATGGTACCGTTACGGTTATTACGTAACACCGAAATGACCGTTATACATGTGAATTTCCGTCATACCGCTATAGCGGTCGTAACGGATGACGGTCGTAATGGGTGACAGTAACCTCCACAACCGTTACGTAACAGTTGCGACAGCTTTTTAAAACCTTGATTAGATTGCATATTTTTCTTACATAATAGGCATAAATGATACATAAATATATTAATATGTTGTCATGTACTACTGTGTTTGCCCTAGCCACCCCATGTCCTAATTTTTAAAGATTTATATGTTGTCGTGCTTGTATCATGATCCGATATCTATGTATATTATTCTACATGGTCTAAGGCTGCATTAGTACAATGCTATGCCACTTCAAACATGACTACTTTTGTAATTCTTTACAAGCTACATACATATATGGATACGTATCGAGAAACAACATGCATCTTCCAGAGAAAAGGGTTGATTCATCTGTGAAAATGACTCCACAGTTTGTGTGTTTTGTAACAGCGAAAGTGAATCATTGAACCATGTCTTAATCTGGTGCCCATTTGTGTGGAACATATGGACTGAAATGCTAAAGTGGTGGGATGTCTAATCTGCTTTGCCATGCTCTGGGGAAAAGTTAAAGAAGAAAGAAAGGTTGATTTGGGGGGCAATTCCATTGGCAGTGATGTGGTCAGTCTGGAGATGCAGGAATGAGTGTGTCTTCAGAGCAACTCCCCCAAATTTAGAGGATCTCTGTGAATTAATTAAAAACAGGATTGCTTTCTGGGTAAATCCATATCTAAGAGATTTTCAGTTCTCTGTACAGGATTTTGGAACCAATCTGAGGCAAATTAGGAGGTGTTTGGGAGGGGTAGGTGTAATGGGCTGAACTGCTGTAGTGTGCTGTAATGTGCCTTTGCTGGTGTGTTTTTGTTGTGTTGTCATCTGTGCTGTGAAGCTCTGCATATGTGTAAGGAACAGATGTGTGTTGCAGTGTGGAAACTCTGAAGGGTGGTAGTGTGTAGATTTGCATCTGTGTGGTGTAGCTATGCTGTTGTTCTAAAGGGTGGAAATTCTGAACTAAGGCTAGAGGTGTAGTCTGTGTAATTTCTGGGTTTAGGTGTCCTCACCCAGCTTTGCATCTGTGCAAAATTGAAGTATATATGTTGTGCAGTCTGCTTGTTATGAAGATTGATCTGCAATCTGAAGTATATCTGATGTATAGCTTTGGTGACTGCTCTGATCTGCTCTGCTCCCTTTTCTGCAGTTTGGGGTGTTGCTTGGCTATGTTGTAGTCAGTTGGTTGTAGGGGAGGTTGTAGTGCTGCTTCATTACTCTATCTGTTGTAGTACAGGGTTTCAATCTATTTCCTTCCTGGCATAGAATCAGCAGTGGTTCAATTTTGGGTGTCCAGATCTATTTCCTTGCTGTCTAGATTTATCAGTTCAATGGATTGGTCTCAATCTGTGTGCTGCATTTTGCTCTGAATCTGGGTGGAGATTGATCTAGTTTCTCTACAGTGGTTTTGTTCCTTAAGCCCCATTTGTTGGTCAAATTTATCAGTTGTGTGATTTGGTGTTTCAAGCCCAGATGGTGGTTCCATTTTTGAACAGGATTGCTTCCCTTTTCTGAACAGGATTGTTTCAAGCCCAGTTGTTGTAGGAGTTTTGCTCAGTTTTTGGTGTTTGTGTTCAGTGCAATTTGCTGATATGTAGTCTGTTTGCTTCATTTCTGTTCCTTTTTGTGTTGTTGTTGGTTTCTCACCAACTGGAGCTTGGAGCTTCAGTTAGCTCCAAGCTCCTCTTTATTGATATCCTGTATCCTTTTTGTATATTTTCATCAATAAAGATTTTCTTTTCCGATCAAAATAAATAAATAAATAAATACAGTCATCACCAGGTTGTATCACTCAAATGGATATCAGAATTTAATAATATATGCATTCTAGTTAAGTGCAAAGTTCGAAAAATGAAATACAGTAAATAAATATTTATACGCACATTAAAGCTAACACATACTTTTTATAATGAGGAGCATCCCTGTCCAAACGAGCAAGGGTGCCAGCCAGAATGGAAACCTGAAAGATCAGAGTACATTCAAACGACAGAACATTTAACACACCAAAAAAGAAAACAATAGGTCAGATCCTCATAAAACAAAAGGGTATATGATTCAAAACTAAAGAGATAATGACCATATAACACAAGTTGGTGGCCAGTATGAAGCATAAAAGAAATGAAGGATTGCACACGGTGTGTATTGACAATATATAGTTGTCTTAAAAAGGAAAGATTTCTCCAAAGCTATAGTGTACGTCAATGTGTGTTATCTTTTCTATTTTTAATTTATTTCATTTTTTCCAGACCAATAACGATTGTAAGAAAAATTATTTTATGTTTCACATTGGAGCTCATCAAGATATATTGCAACATGTGCTAAAAAAAGCTGAAACAGATTTTTTGAAAGCTAAACGATAGGAGAAGATTCCTGGCTTAGATGAATATCTGAAGAGATCAAGTTCAATGTTATAATAGCATCACAAAATAATACCAGGAGATAATGTGAAAACTACAAATGTGTTCAGTATATCTTCTCTCCACTGTCATTACCAACCACCCTGATCTCTAGTCCAACACTAGCACTCTGGAGCAAGAGGAATCTCCTTGTAGCTGAGAAATTGTATGGCACCAGGGTCATAACGAGAGAAGCCAAAATCATGAACCTAGAAGAAAAAGCATGTATGTTAGCTCACTCCCAAGGTTTTAAAAAGCGGCTGTAACCATTATATAACGCCATTATATAACGGTTGTAATGGTTATCACCACCCCTTACGGGCGCTATAACGGTATGACGGAAATTCGCATATATAACAGCTGTTTCGGTGTTACGTAATGGCCGTGACAATACCGTAACAGATGTAACCAAAGTCTTAAAAAACGGCCACAACCATTACATAATGTTATTACATAACGGTTGCGGTGGTTATCGCTACCCATTACGGCCGCTATAGCGGTGTGACGGAAATTCACGTGTAACGGCCGTTTCGGTGTTACGTAATGACTGTAACAGTACTGTAACAACTGTAACGGTCCGTTACACACTTTTATAATATTCTGAATAACTTCCTTTTCCAAAAAAAATAAATAAATAAAAGCTTACAAAAAAAAGAACAAATACTCAAGCGATCAAATTCCAAAGAAAAAATCTTATATGTATTTATTTTCTTTATAATTTGTTTCTGTTTCGGTGTCACGTAACAGTCATAGCAGTATCGTAACAGCTGTAACCAAAGTTTTAAAAAGCGGTCGCAACCATTACGTAACGTTGCTACATAATGGTTGTGGTGGTTATCGCTACCTATTACGGCCGCTATAGCGGTGTGACAGAAATTCACATGTGTAACGGCCGTTTCGGTGTTACGTAATGGCCGTAGCAGTACTATAACAGCTGTAACGGTCCGTTACACACTTTTATAATATTTTGAATAACTTCCTTTCCTAAAAAAAATAAAGAAGTAAAAACTTAAAAAAACAGAACAAATACTCAAGCGATCAAAGCCCAAAGAATCTTATATAAATTTATTTTCTTTATAATTTGTTTTTAATTTTTATTTCATTACATTAGCATGTAAAATAAAAAATATATAAACAGTACTTGTATTTATTTTTATAATCATTTTATTTAATATTTAATTATAAATAATTTTTATTTTGTTACTGTAATGTGTTGTCTAAAAAATGTCTTTAAAAAACTCAAAAATATTTTTTGTTTAAGGCACAATTTTCATTTTTATAATTATTTCATTTAATACTTAATTATAAATAATTTTATTTAGTTACCTGCAAGGTTTTAAAAAGCTGCCACAACCGTTACATAACGTCATTACGTAACGGTTGTGGTGGTTATCGCCACCCGTTACGACCACTATAGTGGTGTGATAAAAATTCACATGTGTAACAGCTGTTTTAGTGCTAGATAACGACCGTAACAGTACTGTAACAGCTGTAACCAAAGTTTTAAAAAGCACCCGCAATCGTGACATAACGCTGTTACGTAACGGTTGTGGTGGTTACCGCCACCCGTTATAGCTGCTATAGCGGTGTGATGAAAATTTACATGTGTAATGGTCGTTTCGCTATTACGTAACGGCCGTAGCAGTACCATAACAGTTGTAACGGTCCGTTACACACCGTTACACACTTTTATAATATTCTGAATAATTTCCTTTCTCAAAAAAAATAATTAAATAAAAGCTTACAAAAAAACAAAAAACAAATACTCAAGCGATCCAAACCCAAAAAAAAAAATCTTATCTGAATTAATTTTCTTTATAACTTTTTTTTTTTAATTTTTTTTCATTACATTAACATGTAAAATAAAAAAATATAAACAATACTTGTATTTATTTTTATAATCATTTTATTTAATATTTAATTATATATATATTTTTATTTTGTTGCTGCAATGTGTTGTTTGAAAAATGTCTTTAAAAACTCAAAAATATTTTTTGTTTATGGCACAATTTTTAATTTTATAATCATTGCATTTAATACTTAATTGTAAATAATTTTATTTAGTTACCTGTAAAGTGTCGTCTAAAAAAATGCCTCAAAAATAATTTTTGTTTATGGTACAATTTTTATTTTTATAATCATTTCATTTAATAATTGTGAATATTTTTTATTTAATTAGTTTAGGTATTGGTCAAAAATAATTTGTAAACATTTAAAATCAATTATTCTTAAAGTTATTAACTATTAAAATAAAATGTAAAAAGCTCCTTTTATAGAGATTTGAAAATAAGAAATATATTGGATCATATTTAAAAATTAACAACAATTGATCAAAACCTATTTTAAACCCTAATAAATGTAATTCTAGAAGGAAAAAAAAAATATGTGTATTGGTAAGTTTTCTTCAAATTATGCAAAAAATTAAAAAAAATTACGGCTCCGATTATCACAACTGTTACGCTACGCCTTTTATACTCTGCAACCACAACCGTAATAACCACCGCAACCACTTTTTAAAAGCTTGCTCACTCCCATATACAGCTGTTTCCCAAATAACATTAAAAATGCATGCTGCATCGTATCAATGCAAACCCCACACAGACTACAGCTGCAAGCCACTACATAACCAACTTCTCCTCACAAAGCAATAATGTTTGAAACTTACACAACTCCTCAGCGAAATGAAGAGAAAATACATGCACACGGCACACACATGTGCTCACACACACATATACACATACAGAGCACAGCGCAGAAACAGAACAAACAGAATGCAATGGTGGAAAACTAAGAGGACAAGAAAATATTTAAAAAGGATAAACCAGTGTTCCTTTTTCAACAGCCTCTCCCCAATGCACAGTAATTAGATGGGGTTTTAATGCTAGTTCATAAAACAACACATGCAGCATTAGAAAAAAGAGGCAATTCAATGGCATCAACCAAAATAACAAAAACCACCACACACAGGAAAACAAGAGCACCAGCCCCTCATTAACTAAGAAAGCGTCAAAGAGCATGAACCTTAACATGAGAATAAGAAATAAGAAATTAAGACATAAATGGAAACTTTTAGAATACATCTTGAAAATTTCCTAGCTCAGACAATTAAAAAAGCTTCTAGAAATTTTATTATGAAAATAAATATATATATATATATATATATATGCATAGGTCATGATTTTGGTAAAATATGAAACATTAGACTGCTAATATCTAGGACACTCTTCTTATCAGTGAAGGTTGTTCAGAAACCAGCCAACACACAAGTGTTTACTTATCCAGTCACCTAAAACAGAGTTCACCTTTATTTATTTAAAAGATTTACAAAAGCATGTGGGTTTACAACTTCCAATTTTTTTCACTAAAAACATAATGTGAAACGATCTAATTTTTTATTGCACTTTTTTTCTATAGACACTTGAATGTAAGGTAATATTTACCAATACTTTATGATAGAAAAATGTTTAAATTTAGTGGATAACAAATACAAGGGATTTTTATTGATAAATCCCATTTCGAAGTGTATTAACTCAAGAAGTCCATGAAAGAATTTTTTAACCCATTTAATCACATGTATGTATAATTTTATTCCATAAAGTCCTTTTTCTTGATTTACACTATTTTCTTGGACACTTATACCCTTATATTTAATTTTGATACTCTTATAAATATTTCTTGAACGGTTAGCAATTTTATGATGTGAACATTCATATTTTAAAATTCACATTGGTAGGAATGTAAAATTGGCCTGTGGGCGGCCTGAAACTCGCCCGCGAGCCAGGGCGGGCCCGGCCCGTTGACAATGTGAATATTCACATTGACATGTTAACATTCACATTGATAAGAGTGTAAAATTGGCCCGCAGTCCGTAGACGCCCTGAAGCCCGACTGCAGCCCAAGGCGGGCTTAGCCCGACCCGTGACAATGTGAATATTCACATTGACATGTTAACATTCACATTGATAAGAGTGTAAAATTGGCCCGCAGCCCGTGGGCGGCCCGAAGCCTGACCGCAGCCGGAGGCGGGCTTAGCCCGACCCGTGACAATGTGAATATTCACATTGACATGTTAATATTAACATTGATAAGAGTGTAAAATTTGCCCGCTGCCCGAAGCTTGCCCGCGGCCCGGGGTAGGCCCGGCTTGGCCCGTTGACAATGTGAATATTCACATTGATATGTTAAAATGCACATTAATAGGAATGTAGAATTGGCCTGCGGCCCGTGGGCTGTCGAAGCCCGCCCACGGCCCGGGGCATGCTCGTTTTGGTCCGGCCCCGAGCATGTCCGAGACCTTAGATTAGGGCCTAGGTCATCACTTTGAAGCCTGGCCCGGCCCATCGGCCCGCTTAAGGCCCATTCAAGGCTCGGTTCGAGGCCTAGCCCGCCCGAGGCGCAATGTATTTTTTTGTGGAAAATAATAAAATTTTGGTAGAAAAAATTAAAAAGAATTTAAAAAAAATGGCCAGGCCCACCCAAGCCTGACCTAAGCTCGAGGCTAGGTCCAGGCTCACCGGCCCGACCCGAGGCTCGATCCATCGGCCTGTCCAAAGCCTGAATACCCTTGTGCTAGGGCTAGGGCCTGGGTCTAACTTTTTGGCCTGTGGGCCAGCCCGGGAAAGGCTCGTTTGAGCCCAGGCTCGAGCCTAGTCCGAGACCCTAGGCTAGGGCCTGGGCCATCACTTTAAAGCCCAGCCCGGCCCATCGGCCCGGTTAAGGCCCATTCAAGGCTCGGTCCGAGGCCCGGCCCGCGCCGAGGCCTAGTGTCTTTTTTTGTGGAAAATAATAAAATTTTGGTAGAAAAAATTAAAAAGAATTTAAAAAAAAATGGCCAAGCCCGCCATGGGCTGCCCACGGGCCGTGGGCGAGTTTCGGGCAGCCACGAGGCACGGGCTAATTTTACACTCCTATCAATGTGAATGTTAACATTCAATGTGAATATTCACATTGTCAATGGGCCGGGCCGGGCCCGCCCTGGGCCACTGGCCAATTTTATACTCTTATCAATGTGAATGTTAACATGCTAATGTGAATATTCACATTGTCAACAGGTCGGGTCGGGTCTGCCCCGGGCCGTCTACGGGCCGTGGACAGGTTTCGGGCAGTCACGAGACGCGGACCAATTTTATACTCTTATCAATGTGAATGTTAACATGTCAATGTGAATATTCACATTGTCAACGGACCGGATTGGGCCTGCCCCGAGTCG